TTTCTGTCTTTCTCTCTGTATTTCAGTCTCTGCGAAGGGGTTGGCTGTCTCTCTTTCTCTCGGGATGGAGATGGTTTATATGTTTCCTGTTTTGGCGGCGGGTGGCGACCCAGCATTGATTGACGAAATGCCCCGCGGCAGCAAGATTGTGCTGCTATTAAATCTTCGTTTTCAACTTGTGGGAGGGAAAGGATTATGATATCGGGACTGGGAAAGGTGGTCTTCTCAGCGTCCTGTTTTTGTTTGTGCTTGCTCTCGTTTGTTGTTTTTTTTTATCTTTTTTCGATCTAGTTCATCTTTTTCTATTTCTCGTTTTGTGTCGTGGTGACGTTTGGTGTTGGATAGCGCTCTTGTGGATTTTTTTCTTTCTTCCTTTTGACCATTTTTTTCTTTTTTATTGTATGATGATGATGAAGATAGGCAGCGGACATTGTTCGCTCTTTCGTCAATATGCGAATGAGCGAAGCGCAGAAAGTGCGGCCAATAGTGTGGCGTGCAACCACGGTCTTCCCCGGCGTTGAAGGCACGGTCATTATAGGTTTTTTATGGCTGTGTTCGGGGCGGCTTTTAGCTTATGGTGATAGAGCAATGGACAATGGTCGTGAGTTACATTCGGAATGGAAAAAGGTCAGTGGCAGACATTGACGTCTAATGGAATTGAACCGCTGACGTTTGATGGGCTTGGTCCACCGGCCATGATGCTTATCTGTGTAGCTTTTGGCGGCCAATACATCGCTGTATATGTTGATATACATATGCATACATATCGGTGAGTGTGTGTGCGTGTATGTATATATATGCCATTCTTTGTTTTTAGTGAGAAAATGGTGGGCGTGCATTGTGGATATGCATCTGTTTGGCGTATAATGCAGCGCACCCTGAGCAGGTTTGCAATTCAGCCCTTCGGTTATAGGGCAATCTTTCATGCTTTATAACATCAGGGGTTAAGGTGGGTTATCACTCACCGCATCATTGGTTAGGTTACTCGGTAGGCTGCAGAGGGTTCGCCCTCCTGATGAGGAGCAGTCTGTCACAGCCGCTCGTTTGTTGTTCTATTCTCCCTCTCCGCTTACGTTTCGCCCGACAGTTTTCCATGGCGATACGTATATTGTCTTCTCCTTTTTTTTCTTCATCTTTTCGTGTGTTTGTGAAGGGCATGTAGTTTCGGCCGCTTAATCGTGTCCTCTTTACGGGGGGGGTGAGATCCCGCGTATATTTTCGCAGGATTCGAAAGTATTTTTTACCGTCGGTTATTTTTTTTGCTACCATCTTTCTGCGAACATAACGTACCTTCATTTTGACTGTATGCCGCCGAGAAAAACCTTGTGTACGTTCATTATCGGGGCATGTTACGTTCCGGGGAAGACCGGCGTGCGCCATCGCCTCGCGGGAAACTAGGAATTGAGAGTACCTGTGCTTTGGACGCTGACCCTCGGTTGAATACCGATGCCTGTTTTTTTTTGTTTTTTTTGGGGGGGAGACTAAGATGTCAAAAAACGCAAAACATTGAGCCCGTCGAATAAGAGCATACTCACACTATCATCAGCCGTGTAGATTGAGCATTATGTTCTTTTATCCTGCCGCCTCTAGGATTTTTCTTGGTCGTGCTTAATGTATTTCATATAATTTAAATCGTTGAAGGAAAGCGGACGTGTGGTGTGTGGGATCGTGGACGAGGGCGGCGTGGGGTAAGGTTCCATGTCATCATTGCAAACACTGATTCTATTTTCCTCTTTCTCTGTTTTTTTTGCTAATTCGTCATGGTGGTTTTATTTTGGGCCTTCTTGTTGCTCTTGCAGGACGGGGGAGGGGAAAAGGGGGAGGCGAGAGGGCAGGGGGGGGGTGTAGATCATGTTGTATCGGCAGTTTGCATACCCATAAATTCTCGGAGAATTTGTGGGCGCGAGTGTCACTCTAGAGGGCGTGTCGGATTGCGTCTGCATGTAGTGTGCCCATATTGTTCACGGCGTTCCTGTTCTCTGATAGCATCTGGATTGTGCCGTTTTTTTTTTATTTTAATTCCTTCGCTTTTTTCTCTTGTGCTCGATAACAGCCTTTGTGTAGAACAAATGCATCAATGCAGTCTTCCTTATTCATAATCTTAGACCTGGCTGCGCGAAGCAGCATAAATGGTTCTGAGTTGCTTGGAGCTGGGCAAACAAGGCAATCCAGGCGGCCCAGCCGGCGTCAACGATTCGGTTCCAAGATGAAAATTTTCTTTCATTTTTTTCCTTGGTTCTGACGATAGCTACACATATATTGATATAGATCTTTTATGGTCTCTAAAATTCACGGTCTTTCAAGTTCGCTAATTTTGGTTGGGGGGCTTAATATCATAACGTGGGTGATAGTACCCACGACAGGGACACTGTAGTGTACATTGCCTTTGTGGTCATCGTCGTCTTAGCGCATAACTCATGAGATCCAAGAAAAAAGAAATTGCCAGTTCAGACCTCATGGGATTCCGAAGAAAAGAAATGATTGGCATCTTCGCAAGTTTCAGCGACTTACTCTGCTCTTCGGCTTACTCACCCCTCTGTTTGCTGTGTGAAATTTGGCTGTTGTGCAGGCCACACAGTCCTCAAGATTTGTATGCCACAGATGTGGCGGGGGACTTGGTCTGGAAAATTCGAGGTTTGGATCGAGCAGTCACTCACCGGTTTGCAGTGTGAAATTCGACCGCGACAGCGGACTTGATTTTGGAAATTTGGATCAAAGGTAGATTCTTGCTGCCGTTTGGCCCACTCGTACTGCATTGCTTTCTTCCCTGTACTGTGACACTGTGGTTTGTCTTGCCTGACTACTCACTTGTTGCCGAACGCTGCAGACCCTGCACCTGATGGCGTGCATGTGGAGGGTACAAACTCGTGGTCGTTTCTTTTTTGCTTTTCCATGACATGTTTGTTCATGCCCGTCCTGTTCCTTGATACGTTGCAGTCCGTTGTTGTATACGAAGCTAAAAACGGCGGCTCAATTGACAGGTTTGTTTCTTACATGTTCATGATGCCTTGTGTGCATGTTGTGCATTAAAGACATACCTTCTTCTGTACATGAATTTGCATTCCAGCTTAAAACAGACTGCGACAATGTTGAAATCGTGCCGCAAATATGCTTGACCCCGAAGATTCATAAAACAATGATCAGCGTATTTATTTTGTACATGTTCGCCGTTGTGTTTTGCTGCCCGCATGTTTTAATGTTGGTATATTGTAGTTCAATGTTGGTATATTGTAGTTGACAATATACAGTATCATGAACATCGTCGCAATCATGCCTTAGATATGCGTAGTCTTCATGATTCATAAAATGATAATCAGCATTTTTGTTCCGTGCATGTTTCCCAAGGCCTCCGTCTGCATATTGAGCTCCCACATGTTCATCATGCCCTCTCTTTATGTCTTATGTATTAAAGGCATGTTTTTTTTTTTATATGGGAGTTTACAATTGATCCAAAATAGACCAACCCATTGGGGATTTTGGACGCTGAGTGCATTATTTGATTGCATATTCCGTATGCCGCCATAGACAATATGACCAAAGCCCTCTCGTATGCATGGTTAGCCATGTGTGATCACACAGTAGTGTTAGTATCAATCATTTTTACCTCTCATTAATTTGGCATATATTCATATTGTTTTGTGTTTTCAAATTGTGGTGTTGCTTTGGCCAAAGTTCCGTTCTAATAGAATGTTTCCATGTGGCGCTGTTTATATATGGTGTTTATAGATAAACACAGAGATAAAATAAATCGTGACGTTTCTCTTTGTGGTTTTGTATATGCCCTTGCAGACAGCATGGCCAATGCTGGGGGTGGACGTTTTCGTCCTCGTCTACTTGATCAGTTGCGTGTTTCAGCTGAACGGGAAGCCCGCATTCCATGACTGATGCATACAACCACAAACGAGCTAGCAGAGTACATCGATTCCGAAGACAAAGATCCGCAGGCCAATGTGGCACAACAAGGGTTTCTTGTCGATTACGTGACGCGGCATCGTGACGGAAAAACTATGATGGACATGTATTTAGCAAATCTCGATGAGCCTGAGGCGGTTGAGGCTGTGCACAGGACTTTGACGACAATTCATGGGGAAACGCGCAAAGACTTGTTGTCGTTGCTTCGTAAATTAACCGTCTATGATTACACTGACATATATGCTCCTCCACGAAGTGGTGATGCAATCTCTTTCGGTCGAACGATTGCTCATAAAATGTTCGGCGTTCCGGAGATGCCCTGCGTTAATGCCAATCTGCGACGCATGAACCCGCAACCCCAATTGGCTGCTCCGCCTGCGGACAACGCACAATGCCAATTGCAGGCTCCAGTTGCGGGCAATGTACAACATGGCTCACCAGCTCCATCTGCGGATAATCCTGTTGATGCTGCTGTGTCAAAGGCCCCGCCGCCAACGAGCCTGGAACCAAACACGCAATCGGTACGTGTGGTGGCGGTGCCAGCTGTGGATGCAGGATCCGGCTTTGCGCCCTTGTTATTCTCTTCACCGCATCCGCAGTTGGTGAGCATAACAACAACGGCGGCTGCAGTTGCAGACTCGGGTTTGACATCTTCGCCGGCTCCGAAGTTGCATTCGGAGTCTGTGAACACAACAACAACAGTTTTGTCTGAAGCGAGAGGACAACCAAACCACGAAGCCATGAACATGTTGTTGCCGGAACAAATCCCTAAAATGTCAGGCTTGCAGATGTGTGATGTGCAGGGCAAAATGGAATCTGCAATATCTTCAAAGAAGGAGAAGACAAAGATGAAGATTGCAGAGAAACGCAGTGCATCATCTGCATGCAGCTTAAAACGGGGGATTGTGAGTGTGACCGAAAATGAAGGTGCATCAAATGCAGTTACAGAAAACACAAGTGATCCTATGTTGCAGTTGACACGGAAGAAGACTCGAGAAGGACAATAGAGACTAGGGATGCTTGGGGAAAACAGCGACACTCCGACATCTCATTCACACAGACCACAGTTACGGCGCTCATGCTTAAGATATCGTTTGACCGTTTCTCGTTTCAGTGACTGCTAGCCACATGCTCTCTCGATGACTCGAACAAAGCTGTGGCATCGTTGGCTATTCTGATAAGATACGTCACATTGCTAAGGCGGGTTCTGCGTATATGCATGGTATGTGCTAGCTATGCTATGTACATTAGTTCACTTCGATCTCTGATGCCGTTGGGCTCTACATAAACTGTGTGTATATTAGTTTGTTTTGACTTCCATGTCACTCTTGGGATGACACTGAGTAGAACTAGTTCACTTTGATCTCTGATGTCGTTGTGCTCTACATAAACTAATTGTTAGATGTTTGTAGCGTTGTGTATTCTATGTTATGAGATTATCACCGGACATAGGCCTTCTATTGGAGGAGGAGGGAAGAGAGACAGGGGGGTGATAAAGAGAGCATGAGGAGAGGGCAGGACAGCGGGCGCCATGACCTGGGCACTTTGCTTGTGCTTTTGGGCAATCAAAGGGATCCTGCCGCCTGGCTGACCGAGCTAGTTCGTCCCTAGTTCGCCGCGGTCTCCATGCAGCCCGTTGAGACTTCCTAGCCGGGGGAAAAATTGCCCCGGGTCCACAGGCCCGCTAAAAAGGCTTGAAAAAGACGCCCTGTCTGGGTCGTCGGTCTCGAGCGATTGGCAACTCAGATAGACCACTTTGTTCAGAGTTCTTAGACAAGAAAGTAAACATGGTCCAGGGATTGGACACGCCTCCCCAACCAAGATCAAAGCGGCTCGACCCACCGGTCGGTCCGCCCGGTTGCCCCCCAGTTCACTGCAACTTCCATACAGATCATGGAGATCTCCTGGCTCCAAAATGAGCCTGCGCGGGTCTGGCAAGCCCGCCATAAGAGCTTCAAACGGACAATGCATTTAGACTAATCCAACCGTTTTATGCTTTAAGAATTGGTTGACATCCATGGGACTCGGGCCGGCCCCTTCGGCTGGTTCGCCGAGCCGGTTCCCTCTCGGTTCATCATGGTCCCCGTGTAAGCCGTGGACGTCTCCTGGCCCAAAAAAACGTCGGGCCGGGCCTGGCGGGCCCACAGGAAGGGCTTCAAAAAGACGGCCCGTCCGTGAGAGAGTCCGACAGTCAAAACAACTTTTCTCCCATTCTCCTTTGCCTTCAGCGGCCCACACGTGTTTGCCCAAACGCCAGTTGCGTTTGAAAGAGATTGCTCGCATGAAACACCATAATGATAAATATGCTGTTTTTTTAAAACACACTCGTCAAAAAACACTTGCTCGGAAAACCCGCAAGTCAGATGAGCTGATGGTGGCTGGCTTTCGGTCGATCCCTGATGAAAAAAAACAGATGATTCTCGAACAATTACTGCACTTGTTAGGTCCTCACAACCTTGTCGATGCAGTGTGCTGCGTGTGTGATGCATTGAATACACAGAGTACTATGTCAGTATATTCAATATATGATACGGAAGCATTGACACGCATGCACATTTGCCTTCGCTGCCCCGAGCCGGGTTTGCCTGACCGTCTATTGTCTTATTATGATTGCTCTGACATACATTCTGCATTCGCCGACCTCATGCTTTCTCGGGCCGGTATAACCGTTTCAAATCATTCTTCGCCAACTTTCAATATCTGTTATTTCTGTTCAAAATCACTCTTTGATGGAAACAAACCGCCAAAACTTCCGAAGCTTGCTATCGCAAACCATTTTTTCATCGGTGCATTGCCATCGGAGATGTCCGTGCCGACTTGGCCGGAGCTTATCATGACTGGTATAGTCACTATCATGGCTCAAAGCAGAATAATGCGAGGTGGATTGCACTGAGCACTCCGATCGCATCTGCTACTTTTTGATGCTATACCTGGCCCTCCTGCTACACTCCTTCCCCGCCGGCTCAACAAAGACGTGTTATACCGTATACTTCTTACCGGCCCCTTCACAGATGGACAGGTTGAACATGTTAGAAAGCTCCATTCTGTTCGCCACAGCGTGGTTTTGGACCTCCTCTCTTTCTATAAACAATATAATCCATTTTATTTCAATATAAATATAGATAAAAATGCAATGGCTGAAATGGTTGAGCAAGGTCATGACCCCATTTCGCATGCAATCATTAATCGTACTGCGGATGCCAATGTCGCAAGTGCAATCGACGCCGAACAAGAAGGACTCAATTCTCATGATGAGTGCAATAATGAAACTGCGTACATTGAGAAAGGAGTTGTGTTCGGACACACAACCGCGCATGTTGATTCTTCGACAGAGAACCGGATTTTGCTTAAACAGGCCAGCGTAGACGAGTCAGATCTGGATCTTGTGTTCCTGGTTCATTCGTCCTCAAAATTTTCCAATATTTTTGACGTCGAAATTGAGGCAAAAATGTTCGTCGCGGATACCCTGGTGAGCCTTGTCGACGACTCGCGGTGTCAAAACAAGAGTGTGCTAAGCATTACTGCTTATTGAGCCATCGACGCTTCGTGAAAAACCCGTATTATGTCCTCACAACATTCAACCGCCTGTCCCTCGATCACGGATACACAATGGCCACTATCACATGTAAATCACATACACAATTCCACTAATGTATTTCTAATGTAACGACTGAGCAACTGAAACGGGGGTTAGAAAATTATCGTCGTTGGTGATGTGGCCATGCCCCCCTACCTACAACAGATGGGGTGAACGAATTGTTGCGTAATGTCGAATGCAGCTCCGCATACGTATGGGGAAGCAACGCTGAACGCCGAGCAAGACGGCAGGAGGGATTCGCAACATGCGACCGGTTCGGGCAGCCTAGCCTCTTTTTTATTATTACTCCAAATACTAACGCGTCATTTGCATTCGCATCTCACAGTGGTCTCATTGACGTCGACCAATTCCTCAACATGTTTAACGAAGTTCCTCATATTCCTCTACATCTTCTTAAGCAGACATCAATGGTCGATAATGTTTCCTCGGCACGACTTTTCGATGAAGTTATTCTTGTGTTTTTGAGAACAGTCTTAGGTTTCGATATTGAGAACAGATGTTCTACATCTGATGGAGGGCTTTTTGGATATGTGGATGCTTTCTTCGGAATGGTCGAGACCCAAGGTAGAGGCACACTTCACTTGCACTGTCTCGTGTGGCTTAAAAATGTCCCTCCTACAACACACGACTTCGATTACCTTCGAGAATCTAAAGCGGATTTCTCAGATTTGGTTTCAAACTTTACTGACAGTATTGTTTCTACTGCAATTCCCTTTGACGTCCTTTCGCTGCACTGTCCTGTGTGCCATTGTCGACCGACATTTGTGCCCCTACCGATTCCCGACACCGCACATATGTCGCCGTTTCTAAAAAATCGTGATTTAGCAAAACTCCAGGAGCCTGCACTTGGCCAATGTGACCACTGCAAATCGCGCTTCAGCTCTCAGCATCTCATGCGACATGCTATTTTGCAGATGGCTCCACAACATGTTACAAAAGATTTGTCTACTTATGATCTCTTATTAAACTTATACTCCAAATTCAAAAACAATCCGTTTTTCCTTCACCCTTTTGCACAAAACCTCATTGCTGCACCGCCCGACCCCGCATACTCGGATATCGTTGCTGCGAGCTTCTGTTTCATCATATGTTTTTTACTATACCTTGTTCAGACACACCACTGGACACATACAACATCATGCTTCAAATCTTCGAGCACAACAGACACAGATAGAATATGTCGTTATTTATATCATCGCCCTCGATCTGACCACACCACTTTTGGACCTGCAGGCATTACACTTCGACGCTCTTTCGGTCATGAGTATATTAATAATTATAATGCTATTATCTTATCAACATTTAAATGTAATCATGATATTTAGCCACTGTTCGGTGGGGCCGATGCTGCCGACCGAATTTATTATTCATGTCGATATGCAACCAAAGATCAACACCGGATTGACTGTGACCTTGCACTACGCTTGGCGGCATTTGATGCTCGTCAAGTCCGAGAGCAAATGGTGTAGCCTGACACATGTCTTCCAGAAGCCGTGAAAGCGCGACGTCGTATATCATCACAATTTTTTGCGCTGACTAACAAACAAGAGACTGCGGGGCGGCTTTGTGCATTATATATTCTTCGACAATTCTGCGCATATAAAAACCATCTTTACAAGTTTATTCCTCTTAAACAAATTCTCAAGCAACTGTTGGCTAATGCGGACACTGTATGTAATCTGGAACAAGGATCAGATATGTTTACAGTGGTGCATCCGTTAGATGACTACATATACTGCCCACTGCAGTTGTCATATATGTGTATTTACAAATTCTTTATGTGGTATTCACGAACTGATATTGTTCACATTGCATCTCGTGACCGCGCATTTTTGAATGGTTACCCGTTATCTAAAACAAAATGTTTGCGCCACCATACCACACCTTACATTCTTATTCTCCCTACCTCTTCACGCATTCTTGATTTAACACAATGTCAAACATCGGCCGCACAAGAACTTCGTGCACAATTGTCGTTTTTGCTTTTCAAACCTTTCAGAAATCTGTCAGATCTTCTCGGACAAAGTCATGACTGGAGTTCGGAATTCAATGTTTTCTATGACCAGATGCCGCTTTTCCCTTGTACTGTTTATCTTCAGATGCAAGATTTCTATGTGGCACAAAGTCGTGCAAAAGAGACTCGAAGGCGTCATGCAGCAGATGCTGCTCCTGCTTCAATGCAGACATATGATTCTGATTCCGCTGCCACTTCAGACGACGAGGATTTTATGTTAGCCCACTCAAAAGCTGACAATAACATGGCGTACTTCTGTGATGATCTTGACCCAAATTTACCACAAACCAAATTTTCGACGGCAGCACTTAACGACCTTGCCCACTTTCCTTCTGTGCCGCCTCGGTCTCTAAAAACAATATTGAATCTTGTGTTCCACAATAATTTTATGGGGACCACTGCACAGAATCTGACTGACACTTATCATGCTAGTGTGGATGTCAACATACCAATCCAAAATGTTGTGCGGGCTCAAT